TCCCTTCTTTCCATCCCGGCCCTGCCCCGCTGCAGCCGCCTGTGTGCCCCTTCCTGCAGTGTGAGCCTGTTTGAGCCAGGAGAGAACCCGTGGGGTTGGCCCCACAGCTGCTCAGCCTCCATCAGACACCTCTGCTCCTGGCCCTCCAGTGCAGCCAGAGCAGGCCCAGGGCCTGGCTCCAAAACCTGTGCCCGAGGGCTGGCTGCATCCTCTGGGGAAACAGGGCAGAGTCCAAGGGCCTTGTGGCCATGCCCTTGGCCAGGCTTGTCCCCATCGGACACATTTTGGGACCTCTGCACCTCTCCAGGGCACTGGCGAAGGGCCCTGTCCCACTTTGCTCTCCGTGCAGGTTTTGCTGCTAAAGGTGCTGCTTTTGTGTAGTTTGCAAAAAAGTCTATCATGCTCAGTGGATGAGCATGTTTAAACTTGTCGCCTGGAGGAGTTTGTGGAAGAAAAGGCTGAAAAATGGCTTTAATGTTTCATCATTTAACATCCACGAGCACCTGCGTGGCACAGGTTTGCTTTCCTTAAAGTTGCCGAATGACGCGTGCTCCCTGCAGGGTCCTGTCTGTCTGAAAATCCTTAACTATGGCAGAGTTCATAAGCCACATTTCAGGTGTCCATAAGGAATTTAGATGCTAAAATCAACATGATCCTAAATGCTGTGAGACACGATGGCCAGGACTGCCTGCAGCGAGTCCAACTTGTACAACTCTGCCCATGTCTGGTGAAGGGGCTTAGAGAGAGTCCTGTGACCCCTGTGGATTTCGAGAGGAACTGATGGTCTGTGCAGTGTTTTACTTGAGGTTAGCTGTGTTTTAAGGGAGTGTAAGGAAGACATCACTGAATGCAAGAGAAATGGGTTAGGAGGTTACTGGGGAACAGGCAGGAGGAGCTGTCATAAAATGTGAGGATCTGCAGTTCTGGGGCACAGCGTTACCCGCTGCCTCGTGGCTGGCACGCTGATGTCTCTGCAGCTCAGGGACCAGCTGCATGTGTAAATCTGCACACTTTATGTCCCAGCACCTAAGAATAACATCAGCAGGAGCTGGCTCCATGACAAGCACCTAATTCCCCATCTCCCAGGACCCCCAACAGAAGAGAAAAGGAAAAAAATCCAAAAGAAAAGTGATCCAGGCTCGTTCAGCCTGCCCGAACGCAGACTTTCCACAGCTGCCTCCCTACGTTACGTGCATGTCCTCGCACACAGTCTCTACCATGGAGGACTTGTGGGTGCTCTCTGCTTCTGGGCTTTCCTCCGAGGCCTTCAGCTGCCTTCTGAACCGAGAAAAGACCATCCTGAGGGAGGAATAGAGCTCCTTGCTCCGCAGGGCATAAACAATGGGGTTCACCATGGAATTGAGCAGGCAGAGGGTGCTGCAGAAGGCAAACACCTTGCGCAGGTGAATGCTCAGCCTGGCGAAGACACTGTAGATCATGAGAACCAGGACCGGAGACCAGCACAGCACGAGGACAGTGAGCACCATGACCAGGGTCTTGGCCAGCATGACGTCCATCCTCATCCTGCTGTTCTGCTTTGCCACCTGCACTTGGTGCTTCTCCATGTAGGCCACGTGCTGGCGAGCCCTCCATAGCACGTGGGCGTAGGCGTAGGCGATGCACACCAGCAGCACCATGACGAAGCAGATCCAGCTGGACAGATAATTGTCATCCACAAACGGGAACAGCTCGGAGCAGGTCGAATTCAGCGTGCAGCAGTTCCAGCCCAGGAGGGGCAGGGAAGCGATGGTGGCGCAGGTCACCCACAGCACCCCCAGGGCTATCCACGCTCTCTTCCTCGTCATGAGGAACTTGTATTCGGAGGGCCGGGTGATGGAGATGTAACGGTCCAGGGCTGTGAGCAGCAAGCTGCTCAGGGAGGCAGAGAACGACGTGTTCATATATTTCTTTGGAGAAATTGGTTTCGTTAAAGACGTGGAAGTTAACAAAGCTGCAGACGAAGATGATGCTGGCCAGAATGTCAGCCAAGGCCAGGCTGCTGATGAAGAGGTAGGAAGGCTTTCTTCTGGTCCCAGGGGAGGAGAAGATCAAGTACAGCACCAGAGAGTTCTCAAAAATGCACAGTGTCCCAAAGAGGCCGCACAGCGTGGCAATGCTTATCTTCTGTGCTTGGGTGCTGAGGACCATGAAGCACTCCATGGTGTTCCCACTGCATTTGGAGGCGTTTTCGTGTATCTTACAAATATCCATTGCAATTAACTGGAGCTGGGAGCTTGCAGAGAGCCTTTCTGCTTCCTTCTGCACTTCTTCAGATGCTCTGAAAAAGACCAAGGAGAAAAGGACTTAAAGGAGCATAACAAGCAATAAATCCAACCCACTCACACACATCCCTGCCTTTAGAGGTAGGCACACAAAAGAGAAGGAGCCCAGGAGATCTTTCAGGTCCACAGCCCAAATGCTGGAGCCAAATTCAACCCTTTCCCAGCAGAGATCCAGGCTTTACCCCACCGGTGATTTGAGACCTATCTAGCACAGCCCATGGGTACCATGTCTCTACCGTCCATACCACATCTGTACCATCCATACCACGTCTGTACCATCCATACCACATCTGTACCGTCCATACCACATCTGTACTGTCCATACAACGTCTGTACTGTCCATACCACGTCTGTACCGTCCATACCACGTCTGTACCGTCCATACCACGTCTGTACCGTCCATACCACGTCTGTACCGTCCATACCACGTCTGTACCGTCCATACCACGTCTGTACCGTCCATACCACGTCTGTACCGTCCATACCACGTCTGTACCGTCCATACCACGTCTGTACCGTCCATACCACGTCTGTACCGTCCATACCACGTCTGTACCGTCCATACCACGTCTGTACCGTCCATACCACGTCTGTACCGTCCATACCACGTCTGTACCGTCCATACCACGTCTGTACCGTCCATACCACGTCTGTACCGTCCATACCACGTCTGTACCGTCCATACCACGTCTGTACCGTCCATACCATATCTGTACCATCCATACCACATCTCTACCATCCATACCACATCTGTACCGTCCATACCACATCTGTACTGTCCATACAACGTCTGTACTGTCCATACCACGTCTGTACCGTCCATACCACGTCTGTACCGTCCATACCACGTCTGTACCGTCCATACCACGTCTGTACCGTCCATACCACGTCTGTACCGTCCATACCACGTCTGTACCGTCCATACCACGTCTGTACTGTCCATACCACGTCTGTACCACGTCCGTCTCTCCATCTGTTTCCTCACCACAAGAGGGAAGCAGCAACGCTGAGAATTGTACAAATCCTGGACCAGCTCTTACCAGTTCTCCCAGTTGCAGTGCTCAGAGCCAGGAGCTGTGGAAGGGGCTGCTCATGGTGACACCGTGCAGTGGCTGGGGACAGGCCCTGCAGCACAGCCTGTCCAAGTGAAGATACTCCAGGAGATGGCTGGGATGGAGAAGGACGAGGACTCGGTGCGGCTCATCTGGGAACACAAAGTGCACTTTGAAGCATTTACTCTTCACCAAAGCTGTTTGAACACATGAAATGCCAAGACTGGTTTTGTATTTCAGCTTGCTCATCGCAGTTTTAGAAAGCTCAGCCTCACTAAAGTCGCGTTTCTCCCCCCCATAATCCCTGTGTCATGAGTCAGTCTGTCCCATGGTCAGAGTGATTAGAAGTTACTGTTTAACATCAGCATTAGAGTGCAGGTTGGACATAAAAATGGGGACATGCAGGATTTAGACCACCTGAACCTCAGAACCCCGTCCATGCCCAGGATTAGGTTAATTTGATCAGTCTTTTTAGCTTCAGCAGAGATGTGATGGAGGAAAATCCCTTACTTTCCCCTAGGCAGATGCTTTGCTGCTTGGTGCACTCTGTGGCAGCAAAGTCGTGTTTTTCTCTACACTTCTGCACCTTAATGCATTTCAATCCCGTCATCTTCGTTACACTGATGAGCTCGTCCTTCAGATGTTATTATTTCTCTCCTATTCCTGCTTTTTATTATACACGTGATTTAAACCAAATGCACTTCCATTGAGGGCTCAATCTCCTCGTGTTACCTCATGTAACAGGGGAACAAGGTCATCCTGGACCGGGTTATAGAGAGCAGATGAAGAGGCGGCTGTGGAGTACACTAAAGCTGCCTCATTAGCAGCGAGATGCTGTGTCCCAAATGCTCTGCACTTGCAGGTTGTACCGCCCTGCTACAAGACAGGACAGGAACCCCCTTCCCAAAAACACCCACACAGAATCACAGAATCACAGAATGGCTCGGTTGGAAAAGCCCTCTGAGATCATCACGTCCAACCGCTCCTGTCTACCCCCTAAACCATATCCCTAAGTACCTCGTCTACCCGCTCCTTAAACACATCCAGGGATGGTGACTCCACCACCTCCCTGGGCAGCCTGGTCCAGCTTCTGACGACCCTCTCAGTACAGAACTTCCTCCTTATCTCTAACCTGAACCTCCCTTGGCACAGCTTGGTGCCGTTTCCCCTTGTTCTATCCCCCATCACCTGGGAGAAGAGCCCAGCACCCACCTCTCCACAAGCTCCCTTGAGGCAGTTGTAGGTGGTGATGAGGTCTCCCCTCAGCCTTCTCTTCTCCAGGCTAAACAAGCCCAGTTCCCTCAGCCGCTCCTCACAAGGCTTGTTCTCCAGAGCCCTCACCCGCCTGGCTTCGAGTACCCAGGATCCCACACCCATGCAATGGGGCCACGAGTTCCCCTTCCCTCAGACCAAAGCAGTCCCGTCTCTGCCTGCCCTCGGCTCTTTCGAAAGAGGAAATGTCCAAAACGTGCAAGCCACAGCGCAGAGTTGTGTGATGACCACAGCAGCGAGCGCCCAGGCGGTGCAGGGGCTGGGCTGCTGCGTCGCTGGGCTCCAGGCACCTGTAGGTGACCGTGTGCGGTTTCTCTGTCTGTTTATCAAAACCCAGCAAAGACAACGGCTGTCTTTAGAGATGATGATAGCCAGCGGTGACCAACATGCTAGAAATCTCTGTCTCCCGTCCCTTGGCACCCATTTCTGTTCCTGCGTTTTGCAGTAGTTGCAAAATAACCCTGAGCACTTGGGCTGGGGCCCAGGAGATCGCAGAGAAGAGCCCGAGCCCCACACTGCTCCTCTCTGCCGTTGGTAGCAGGGCATTTAGGGCATGTTACAGCCAGAGGAGTTCAGCCCTGATTCACATTTCCTGGCATATTGGACTGGAGGAGGTCTGGACTTCGGGCTGAAATGTGGCTCAGCATTGCAGCAAACCTCTCTCCTCTTACGTCAGGCTCTGGCGTGGGGCAATTGCGCAGGACCGGAGATGTTGCTCTCTAATCTCAGCACTCTCAGTTTCCTGCAGCTCTTCACAGGAACAGGACAAGTGCAGCAGTAATTGTTCACCGCTCTTATTAAACCTGACAACATCTCCCTCTCCAGAGAGAGATGCATTTAGCAGACAGATGGACTTTGACGTAGCTCAGGGCTCAGCAGGGGCCAGCAACTGCCTCCTCGAGTACCCAGAGCTCCCCAGGCAAACTCCAGCACCCAAACCAAGACACCTCTCAATTAAGCAGACACCAGCATCACCTGGACATCAATTAATCACAGCTGGCATTCCCAGGACCCTCTTAAATTCTCAGTGCAATGTACAACGAACATACTTAGGAGCTTGGAAACTGTACTGAAAGCTAAACAAGAGACTGAAGGTCAGCAAAATGCTATCCCCAGGACTTATTTTGATATAACCAAATTCTCTCACTGCTGTGGCTCAAGGAGAGAATTTGGTTATAACAAAATAAGTCCTGCACTGACTGTTCTGGTACAGCTCCTTCCATTAAGCTGACATAACTCAGATAAGCCCTCAGGTTCAAAATACTGCGCTGGGCTCGCAGCAGTCAGCCAGCCCAGACCTTCTCTTCCCACATCTGTTGTGTCTCAGGCTGAATGACAAGGACGAATCTCTGCAGTTTTGACTGAGCTCCCCCAAATCCTCCCTCTTCTGTGGCTGTGAGGGAAACCAGGGGCTTTGCTCCAGCACAAGATCCCTTCTGCAGAGACTCCAGAGCACGAAAACATGAGCAGTGCCAAGAGCCCCTCTGCTTGCACTGCCTGTCCCTTTATTTTTGGCCATAAGGCTGCTTTTTCCTGCCCAGGGGACATTTTTCTCTTGTCAGATGGGCTCCTGGATTCAACCATTTGTTTGTTTATGCCTGCTGCAGCTCCTGGGAAACAAGCCAGGTCCTATCTGGATCCCAGGAGAGAGCTGATCCGCAGCATCCTCCATGGGGCAAGTCCCACTTCCAGGGTGGAAAACTCTCCCGAGGGGCAGTAACTCCCCCTCCCTGGGAATTCCAGCCCTGGGCTTGGCTTTGAATCCCCACCACAAGCAGCCCAACAAGCCCAGAGAGTCCCTGTCCCCTGGGCTGATGTTTCAGCTCAGCAAGGAAGAGCGAAGGGGCTTCTTGCCCTCCTTTAGAGCCAGGAGGCTGCGGCACAGAGGGACGGGGTCTGGGAGCCACAGGAGCCCATCAGGGATTTCCTGGGCGTCTGCACAGGATGAGCTCTCGTCCCAGCACAGCAAAGTGCCTCCTGCCAGCAGCACCTCCCAAGGTGAGGAATATTCTGCCAAAATAAAGCAATGGAAACCCCATCTCTTGCAATGGAGAAACCCCCAGACAGTGCCAACAAGAGCAGAGCCCCAGGAGGCAGCAAATGGAGGCAACACAGGGAACGAACAAGAAACTCAACTATTAGGAGGAAAACGCAGATAAATTTGAGAATGCAATGTATTTCTGATGCAGCCTGCCCAGAAGCAGCAGAGCAACTTTCCCCCCATTAGATCTGCTTGTGAGCCCACTCACTCCAGCCTAATAACTCTGCTGGCTTCAACAGAAATTAAACCTACAAGTGAAAAAGTCCTTTTCCATTTCAGTGCATCGATGGATTGATTTCAGCTGTCAGACCTGCACCGCCTGGCACGCAGCAGCGCGGCTTCTGCTATCACTTGGGATGGTTTCTGCATTTACGGAGACATCTCGGAATCCTTGTGATTAATAAGTTAACATGGAGGTTGCTTGGATAATGTAAAATTAAATTTTCCTGCTGCGATCAGACAGTGCAGTGTGCCTGCAGCACTGCGAAAGTGCTGCCCTTGAATATTTCATCTCCAGAATTTCTGAGAGAGTCGATCTTTAAAATAAAATAAAACGTCCTAAGA